ATTATTAATCTCGTTTAATAAGTCCCATTAAAAGGCCTTCTTTCTAATTATTTATAATTTTGCCAAACTTGAGCCAATGAAGCTGAAACTGGCTTTGCTTTTAGCTAGCTCTTTTTTATTTAATCCAAAAAGGATTTATCCTTTCCCTGCAAATAGAAAATGTTACAAAAGTCTTGCAAATTTGTTTTCTAAATGTCTAAGAATCTGTATGCTCTGGAGTAGGGTTGCTCACCTTTGCAGCAGGGAGCAACCCTTTTGTCCTCTTTGTGGGAATCTTACTGAATTTATCAAATATATAAATCTTTTGGGGGGAAAAAGTGACCATTCTTAACTATACAATGCAGGCTTTATTAGAGTCTGACAGCCAGAATTTCCAAGGACTCCCTTTCCCAGGAGCACAGTGACTCTTATCGCAAGAGCCCAAGTGGGGCTACCCACACATCAACTGCAAATAATACCCAGGCAAGTTGCAGCTCAGGGCTATGTGGAGACATGGGCATTTCCACTGCAGAGCTTGCAGGACAGGATCAGCCAGTGCTGCGCACAAGAGCAGGAAGCACTTCCTTCTCCTGCACTGTTGGCGGATGCACCCAGGATCCAGGTGCCCTGCAAAGGAAGCAATTTGACCTGAGTGTGGAGGAAAGAAGAGGGAAAAGGAGAAAAAAAGAGAAAAGAAAAGAAAAAAATCAGGGCAACATGACATTATTGTGAAAGAGAGGGGTGACATAGTAACTGGGAGGTGAAAGGGGAAGATGGAGGATGACCGAGGGAGAGTTGGAAGTCAATGAGAAAAACACAGATGGGAAGATGTTTGGCTTGGTGGGGGTCCCAGACAAAAATGGTCCTTTTTGCCTGGTCCCTTGCTGGATGAGAAACTGAAGGAAGGAATGAGAGATGGGATTAATTTGGAGAAAGAACTGCTGTTCTAAGTGCTATTAGGAGGAGGCAGAGGGGGGGTAAGTGCAGAGAGAGAATGTTACGTGGGACACAAAATCAAGAAAGAGGGCTGACTGCTAGGGCAGGGAGCCTGGGAGGAGGAGCTGGGGCAGACTGGCTGGGTAGGACGAGCACCAAGAAGGTGTGAATCTGGCATTTTGGGGAGAGTGGAAAAAAACAAGGAAACTGTGACTAGATAGCTGGGCTTGCTTAAATAAGGAGAATGAGGAAATCAGGTGGATCTGGGAAAGGTTCAGGAGCTGTTCTGAGTGAGAGAAAAAGGGGCAGCATGCAAGGAGGGGAAGAGAAGACAGGGAGATACTAGGAGTTGACAGGGAACTTGGAAGATAACCAGTGCAAAGCAAGCAACCATGACATGAGAAAATGGAAGATTGGACCATGGGGGCAGGTGAGCAAAAAGACTGGAGGAGAATTACAGAGCAACAGTTGGATAGTAGATAGGACTTAAAGGGGATCCAGTTGAAGGGGACTCCATGACGATGTATGCAGGAAGCCTTGCAGTAGCTGGGCAAGCATTCCCCTGACAAGCTGGAAAGGAAATTTGCCTGGCAGCCCAACCCTGAAGCCAGGGTGTTCTCAGGCTGCTCTCAGGGAAGACTCTCTGGTCTGGGTCTGGGTCTGGATGGAAAGACCACACTCTGCATACTCAAACTGCTACTGCCAGTGCTCAGTGCTCCTGTGTCTAAGGTCTGTGCGCTGGCTCTAAGGGTGTCCATATGATGCTCCTTTCAGGAAGCGTGGTGTGGGAGGGAGGAGCTCTACAAAACCATGCACAGAAATACCTTCTTAAAAATTTGTTCAGTGGATTCAAAACCAAGCTGTAAAACACAAAGAAATTCAATGTCAGTAGCATGTATAGCGCTCTCTGCTCTGCAAGGTGTTGGGTTCGCTTTACTGGCACAAGGATAGCTAGACTACATCCTGAGGTCACAGGTATCAAGTTGTCCCATAAGGGAATGGCTTTATACTGAAAGAGGATAAAATTTTATTAGATATAAGGAAGAAGTTCTTCACCATGAGGGTGGTGAGACACTGAACAGATTGTTCAGAGAAGTTGTGGATGCCTCATGCCTGGAAGTGTTCAAGGCCAGGCTGGATGGGGCTTTAAGCAACTATGTATAGGGAGGCTTTGAGCAACCATGGCAGGAGACTTTGAACTAGATGATATTTAAGGTCCCTTCCAAACCAAACCTTTTCATATGACTGCTTTCATATTAGTCAGGGTCCTTTTAGGAAGCAGTATTAGCTGACTCTGGCAGAAGATACATGGTGTTTCTAGAATCCTGTTGAGACATACAGTGGCAGGCAGGGCTAGAGTGTGTACATCCACACCTGAGGGTATCCATCTACTGTGAGAAGGGAAGGAAAAGTGCATCTGACATATGCCTATGATCAGGTAAGGATTGTACGTATGCATGCAGCAGAGCTGGGTGTACAGGCGTAAGTGCTTGAATACTCATATACACACCTATGTTTTGGAGGAGAAAAAGATCAGAGAAAAAGTCCTTTGCACTTAAAATACACAAGAGTCTGTGATGATCCCTGGACTTTATAGGAGCTCTTCCACAGCCTTCTGTTGTTCTTGGAAATACTATCTCCTGCACAAATAAACTTTGTTACCACTGTAGAGAGTTTCATGTTTATCCTAGAAATGAAATGATCTTTTTAAGCCATGGAGTGTTTCAGGAGAGAACCTGCTTCAGTCTTCTCTGGCAAGGCCACATGGTGAGAGGACAGGCCTGCTTATTAACACAAGTTTCCATTAATGTTTCTTCTGAAGCTGTACATTAACTGTAATCATCTATGCTGGACTAATTTTCATTAGCTATTTTCAATTTTACAGTCAGACAGGGTCTGCAGGGGCATCTGTCATTGAAAATCTGGTTCCAGGGGGCATATCCTTATGTGCACCTTTATTCCTCTGCATCCTTTTGGTCCCCCGCTTTGTTGTTCACAGTAGCATATCCGTGTGGCAAACCTAGGCAATGCTTACTAGGAAAAATAATAAGAACAAGATATTTAATGCATTTCTAGCTTTCTTTAATGTGTTGTAGCTGTGAATACAAGGCAGAAAGCAACACCATATGACCATGCTACTTTGGGAATGGTCTATAACATACAGTTAGAATACTTTCAAGATATTTATGCAGTGCATAAGTCACATGAATAGAGGTTTATCACACTCAGTAGGAATGCTGGATTTTCATATCACACATTCACTGCTTAGGATGATTAGCAGGAAATTAAATTTGCACTAATTAGCCTTAGGGGAGCAAGAAATTAACTTGATGGGTGAATTCCACGTTTTACTCTATACCATACCAACATGGAGGGATTTGAGTTAAAGCTTGAGTTGAGTCCTATGCTGATACACTGGACTGCAGACTTCCTAAATTAGAGTAAAACACTGCAGAAAATTAATATATGGATGGTGAGTAGGGTGAGTAGGTGGGGGTTTTAAGATCAAGAGTTGTAGAATCATCATTCAATGTATTCATTGGATTGTCAGCCACTTCTAGAGAGTGTTGCATATTTGTGTACATGCTATTATATTAATATTGAATATTACAGCAAAAGCTTTAACAAGTCCTGATTTTCTATATTTGTATATTTTCATCATACAATGTGCTTTATGACCAATCATGCAATATTGCACATTGTAATGCTCAGAGCAGGAACTGTTTTCACAGAACTACTGTGAAAATGCCATACTTTTTAATTTAAAACACCCACTTGCAAATACATTTTTAGGGTCAGGAGCCTTTGTTTGTATGCTGGAAAAACTCCTATGAAAATAATTTTTTCAGAAGTTACTCTCAAAAGTATAAAGCAGATGAGGGAGGCATGAGTCACCCCACAGTCCCAACAGACAAACTAGGAACTAATAAACACCGGTCTTGCCTGTTGATGACTTTTCTCATTCTTCCAAAACACAGTTTAGATCACTTGGTTTTCCCCTCTGTAAAATGGAGGCAATTCTTATGTATCCACCAAACAGAATTACTATAGATTGATTAGAGCATGCAAAGCACTGAGTCATTCGGTATGGAAGTATCAGTCTATTATACACTGAAGTGTTCTGTCATACAAGGCTTGTGGTTACACCCAAATTTATGTGTAAAAAAGAAGATGGAAAACATCAGTTGCATACAAGATAATTGCCTTTAATGTCAGTGCTTTTCCTAGTTTGTGCATCTGAAGAACACTCAGAAGCCCACTATTATGTATTTGGATTTAGACTTTGTAGTACTTACCTGAAACTGCTGTTGAAGTGAGAGGTATGACTTCAGTGAGAGTTTTGCCTGAATAAGCAGTGCAGAACTGAGTACCTTGAGTCCATAGTTTGGTGTTTAAGTGGTGCATACACACTAGTTCAAATGTCTGCTGAGACTCTCTAATAAATACTTCTGGTCTGAAGAGAGATCTCAGGTAGATGTGTGGGTAGTCATATATTGTACATCATGTATCGTATTGCATTCTTAGGTCCTTCTTCAATCCCCAGGACTCTCATTTTGCAGCAGTAGGACTGCAATAAAGAGTGTGCGATGAGTATTTGTATTTATGGGTGGTTATATATATGCATGTGCCCACACACAGACAAGCATATATGTATACACAACACCAATATATAAATGCACCTTGCCTTTTTGGGTGTACATTTCTGTAAATGCTCAACACTTGTATCTACACATTTATGAGTAATATCCAACTTTCAGTTATAATTGACACCATGCGGTTTTCTGTATAATAATTAGTTTGGGACAAAAAACCTTGCAGATGGTTTCAAGACTGACTCTAACTTGCCATCAATGTAAAAAGATTAAATAAGATGAGCCCACTCCCTCTGAATGGAATAAGCCATTTTCATTGATTTCAATGGCAGCAGGCGCAACTTCGTTTCTACAGCAGAGAACATGTATTATATTCATTAAATGAAAGTTTGATTTCATTGCACTTAAAATTATTCATATTCTGTTAGAAAATGGTTTGAGATTTTATAACCTAGAGCATTTGCTGAATATTGCTTTGTCTTTTCCTCACAGCAATTGGAAGGACCCTCATTCCTCGTTATTTTAGCACTGTCTTTGAAGGAGGTGTAACAGACCTGTATTACATTCTCAAGCACTCAAAAGAGTCATACCACAACTCATCCATCACAGTGGACTGTGATCAATGCACCATGGTCACTCAGCATGGAAAACCCATGTTTACCAAGGTAACAGGGAAGACTCAATAAAGCATGTTGTTTTTCTTTCTCAGTGTGTATAAGGGTGAAAAAATTGGCTGTTGCATTTTTCTGGTAGGCTACAATCATTTCAATACCAAAAACCCTTGAAGCCATTTAGTTAGTATTTTCTATATTCCTTATGTGACTGGAAAATTCTGTGGGCATCCTCTGCAATTCTCCCAGAGAGATTGCAAGAGAAGCACATAATGCCAGGTTGCCAGAGCCATCAGTTGTATCAATTAAATCCAACCTGCCCATCTCCTGTTCCCTGGGTTTGATTTTAAAGCAACAATGTGATTTCACATTGCTGGTACCTACCATTTGGGATGGTATGTGTTACATTTGATACTTACCCAGTCCAAGGGCTATAAATCTCTAGGAAAATAGTGATTTAATACAGTAGGATGCTGGTCGAAAGGGCAGTGAAGTCAATGGAAGGAGTCAATTGATTTAAACATGCTCTGGATACGCAGTTAGTGAATATTCAATATTTGTAATTGATAGTGAATTATCTTCATGCATTGGCCACTTCTAGTCCTGTAATTAAACTGAGTGCCATGTATTTATAAAAAACAGTACCAAAAGGTAGAAAATACAAATTAAGACAAATATTTCCTTACATTAAAAAAGTTTAAATTGAAATGTCTTCTTTCATAAATTAATGGGAAATTATAATTTTCCATCTTACGTGTTCATCAGTATGTACTTTAACCTTTGTGTGAAAAAGGCACAAAAGGAGAAGGGGTAGCAGGAGATCACCTATCCATTTTGGCCCTTCGCCTGCAGGACTGTGGAGGTTTTAGAGTCAAAAAAGACACTGGCTATTGAAAGTACTATGACCAGCACCTACATATCTTACACTGTTCTAGCACATATTTGCATCACATCCCCCTGTAGGGTCTTCTCTGCCATCTTATTGGCTCTTGGAGTGGAGCTCAAAGCAGGGGGAGAGGAAGCTGCTGGTGTGTGGAGCACTGATGAGCTGCGAGGTGTGTGTTTAATGGTGTCATCATTCCAGCTCTTCCGCTCCAGCCCCCAGAGACTTACATGGACACGAAGAGAAAGAAAGCTGCAAAGAGACCAGATAGTCCTAGATAGCACCACTTTGCTACCTCCCTGCTCACAAGGAGTCGTGTGCTGGCCATGTGCAGCGGACATGTACTAGTGATATACAGTAGCTGCTTCTCTTAAGAGCTTCCTAAAGAGATTTGTATCATTTCCCTTTGCATAAGTTTTAATGCAATAGCAAATATAAGACAGGATATTTTTTTTGAATCAGTAAATACCGCACAATTTTCTTGATTCAGTTAGGTTTTTTTGCTTATCATGGCAGAACATTACAGCACCAAGCTGGGTGCACACCTCGTATGAGGGGTCCACAGGCACCTTTCATAGCACCGTCCTGTGTGAGCAATGAGGTCTCTGTCTGCCACTGCCTTGGCAGCACACAGCCTGCTTCAGCCCTGATGCTTCCCCTGCAGATTCCGACATAAACGTCTGTGTCCCAGTAGAAAAGTTCAGGTGGGGATGTGGTTTGGATTCTAGGAGAAAATTAGGGGGATTTAATGGCTGTATCTTTAAAATGTAACTATGTTTAAGAGCAAATTTAAAATAAAACAGAGTTGTTAGTGGAACAAGGTAGAAAAGAATACATTACCCTCTCAGAAACAAGTTAGAGCTGAACACTGTCTCAGCTGTGTATGTGTAACTTCCAGCAGAGATACCGAGGGCAGAGATCTTGTACCCAAAGGTAAATTCCTACTCTCACAGTATCTGTGGTGGAACAAAGCAGACCTCTCACAATAAGCAGCACTCCAATGGACTGTGTAGGTCCTTAGATCAAGTCTGCATTTGTCCCAGTAGAACTACCACAAAGAAGTAATTAGTTTTTAGTTCCACAAATGCAAAAATACAAACTAACTCTGTTAATAGCTTTTTCAGCTTCACAACCAACCTCTAAGCTGCAAGTTCACTATTTTCTGATATAAGGGGCTGAAATAGTTCTCATCACATATTGAATCAGAAATCTGCAGCTGCATTTTATTCATGTCAACATTTTCCTAGCTAGAGAAACTCACTGCATGCTGCAGTATTGGACAAATATATAAAATGGCATTTCCATTTCTTATTTTCAAACAAGTATGGCCACAACATGCCTAACAGTGAGAATATGAATAGCCCAGCTTGTCTTTAGAGGGCAAGAGATCCCTGTAAAGTGTGGGCAAACTGTTTTTTTGCAGTTAGTGGTTTGTATTTCCCAATAGACTGGCAGAGGAGAGTTATTTTTTTACCCATAGGAGAAGAGGAGAGGACCTTTGCCACTAGGCTAGTGAGCACCCTGTATTTGAACCTGCACCCAACACTGGGGCCATCAGCTGGATTTTATAGATGAAGCCCTTGAAACGGAGGCATTTCCCAGATTTGTGTAAGCCTAAGGTTTCTTTTCAAGCAGCGACTCAGGTTTGAGAAATGGTAGTTAATAAAAGGAGAAGTCTTCTAAAAGATGCCCCATTAGGAGAGCAAGGCTCTAAGCAACAGGCACAGGACCAAAGCTGCTTTTCATTGGTGCGAGCAGTTAAAATTCCTACAATTAATAAGTGCAGTGAAGGGGTTAAAAAGCTATTGGTTAGTTTGAGAAATGTTCTTTTTTAGTTTTTTCCTGGCCTAGTCTAGAGCAGCCACGTGATGCACTGAATGCCTGCCAGCCTCTTTCTTGTTGATCCTCCGGAGACCATCTGTGCTGGGGGCATTGATTAGAGTGTGTCTGCTGGGATTACATCTTTTCTGTTGCCATGCCAACTAATCAGCTGATTTTGGTTACCACAGAAACAAAATGTCAGAGCTCACAGTACGGTAACATGAATTCAGCACAACAGAAAATGTTTTCTTAATTGGAGACCCTTTTGATTTTTTGGATTCTATGTAAAGGCAGTTGTGTGTTTTTCTTAAAAAGGCCCATTTAAAATAAGAACTGCACCAATTTTATTGATTAAAAGCAATGCATAAAATCCTGCTCTGCATAAGGAAATGAAATTCCTTTATAAAAGGTATAAATTTTTACCACTGTGAAATGAGGAATGTGCTTCAGTTTTTCTATAAAAATTTGTTAATGCCAGTGCATAAAATAAATCTGTTAAGAGCTGTGGGGTTCTGAGCTTAAGACAAGAAACATTTGAGAAGCCTCAGGTATTGTTATAAAAAGTATTTTAAACCTGAAAGATTTTCATATTAACTAGACAATAATCAGGGTCTTTGGCTTCAACAGTAAAATTAATATAAAAGATTTTTCTTCTGGTATGAATCCTGTGTGTGTGCATGTGGACCCCCTGTGTAATTTCTCATCATAGTGCTAGTGATGTGAAAATCAAAATCAGGGTCAAATGACAAAATAAGTTACATTAAAAATTTGAACGCATCACTAAGATGTGTTGAAAAGGGAGATGAGAACCTGTTGCAAGATTGTCCTTCGTAAGTCTACCCTAATTGTCTATATGGTGTGCCTGTTAAAATTACCTACGTGTTTTTGCAGAAACAACCAGGAAAATCATGATGATGTTAAATGAAATGTTAACCAGAAAAGCCACACATTGACCAAATGGGAACTAGCCAAGTCTGATCTGGGGATTGTAAAAAGTCTCAACAGACTCAACTGAATCTAGTTGTTCATTCAAATACCAGTTGTGTTAGAATTAAAGTTGCAGAAACCTTTTATTTTGAAAGCTGATACACCCTGTTTCCACAATAGTTTTCCACTTCGAGCAGAAGCTGGAAACTAATCAACAACAGAGGTAGTTAATTTTCAGATCAGGCATTATTTACGGTACTTCATGGTACCCCTAGTCAAGATACCATGCCAGGTATGTATTTTGCACCTTAAAGAAGACCATGACCATAGTAGGTTGTCCACATAAAGCTGTGGACCATTGTTTAAAAGCAATTTATTTTATTTTTCATTTCCAGGTAGTACCCACTTGCTTCATTTGTTCCTCCCATATTTTGTCTCTTTTCATAGACAAGACCCCTCATAAAGCTGCGTGAGCCACTTTCTGTGGAAGCAGCTCTGTTATCCATAACTACAACCTCTCCTCTGCTCCCCTGTCTCAAACCTGCTGTGGCAATGCAGTTCATACAGCCTGATGGCAGACACCCTGTCTGACTTTTCTTGGAAGGGGGCATTAATAGAAGTAATGAAAGAAAAATAAAAATGGAATTAAACGCCTGAAAAAGACAAAACTTGGAAAAGACAAGAAGTAAAAAAATAGGAAAAATACCAGGTTTGGCCACAGGCATTCAGGGCACTGTGTACTTCAACTGGACATGAAAGGAAAGTTTGTATGCCAAGTTATTGTAAGGAAAGGGCAATGTAGAACAGGTTGGGAATGACTGGTTCAGCAACTTGACATCAGGTGCACACAGTTGCACCACAGCCACCTCCACTGTGAGGTTCAGTCATTAATTAGCAGTAGTGAACTGTGAGGGAAAGAGAATTGATGCAATAAATTAGATTTAGTGCATACAATATTCCATGTTTGTAAAAGGCTATAAAATCTATAGTATTATAAGTTACTGTTTCCACAGTAAGGCCTATGAAGTCATTTTCCCACATTCGTTTTTTCTCCCCAAGAGAACAAAAACCAATTAATCTACCAGAGATAAACAATAGAATACTGCTCTGATATGTTCAAATGTTGTTTAATTGATGATACAATACCACTGAAAACAAAATTCCTGGGAATTTATTTCATGCATTTTATGTATTCTAGGTGTGCACAGAAGGACGTCTTATCTTGGAGTTTACTTTTGATGATCTTATGAGAATAAAAACATGGCACTTTACTATTAGACAATACAGAGAATTAGTCCCACGCAGCATTCTAGCCATGCATGTAAGTAATCCTTTATTCACTTGACCTAATGCAAACAGGTAAGATTAGGTTTATGAAGAACTCCAGCAAATTTCACACCCAAGGCAATTAACTATAAATATTTTGGTTTGCCTGCAACTACATCCTTTTACAAGTTCTTTCATCAGTCCCTTGTTTTTCAGTGCTCTATTGTTGCCACTGTTGCTATGTTTTCATTTGAGTTTAGCACATAGTTTTCTTTTTAATCCCATTTGGTCATTGGCCCATTGGCTGAAAATTTGTTCTTATTGATATGAACTGCAATTCACTGAAACTTCATTATTGTAAGTATGAATTACGTTTAGTCTTTAAATGAAGCAAACTTAATGTTACCCTTGCATGAGACAGAAAATAAGTATTTACCATGTATTTACTTAGAAACCTTTAGAATTATAAATCTGATCTCTTTTTTTTTTTTTTTTTAGTTAATGGCTTTTCTTTTGCAATTTAATGAAAACACGCACTATAGAACATTAAAATATTAAGTATTCTACATGCTGAAGTTAAAATATTATAAGGTAAATCATTGCAGACAAACAAAGGACAGAGTCTTATTGCCACTTTGAGTTCTGCACTGTAGAAGCATTCTGACTAGTAGTGCTCCATATGCCAAATTAATCTCAGGACTATAGTTATAGAGAATAAAAACACAGGCTTATATATGTGCTTGTATTTTGACATCAAGTTACTTAGCTATCCATAGATAAAGGTATGTTCATAGTGAGGAATTTAAAATAACTTAAGAAGTTTGGGCTTTTTTGAAAGTGTTGTTACACACCTGAAGAAAATACGTTTGAAAACCTGCCCCATCTTTTACTGTAGAGGGCTGATCTTCTGAACTCTTCAATAGTACCCCATTAAGGGACAACGAGGATGGCCACAAGCGACATTATGTATTTATGGGGGGCACTGCAATTCAAAGAGAGTGGAAGCAGGTTAGCCAGCAACCAGCAGGTATTAATTTTAGTAATGAGATTGATCTCATTTTAAAGAGGAGGCTGGTCTCACAAGTAAAGCTCCTGGCTAGGGTCAGAGGACTGTACTTGCATTTCCCCTGTTTAATTCTGGGAAGCTAACTTAGACCAGGAGGGTTCTCCAGCCTATGCTTAATGCCACTTACAGGATAAGCTCTGCTGAAGGTGCCTTGATGAGTTCTTTCTGCTTCAGTTTCTTATCCACAAAAAGAAAGTGATGCCTTCTGTATTCCTGCCTTTGTCTGCTTAGTTTGGTGGGGCTCCCAGCCAAAAAGCTGGAGGCTTAAAGCATGCTGTGATACTTGAGGAAGCCCTTTGGTGGGGTTCCACTTTCTTGCACTGCTGTGCATGCCCAGAGCTCCTAAGTCTATCTTTTGAAAGGGCATGGACAGAAGGAAGATATTGGAAACCAGACTTTATTCTGTTCCAATTTCATAATTTCCTGTGCCAGCAGAACTCTGTAACTTACTACCTACGTTTAGCATCAATGTATAATTTTTCTATAGGAATGGCACCTTTTCCCAGAAAACCCTCCCTGCACCCCTCCAAGCACATATAAAAAAAACCAAATAGACAAAAAGCAAAGTGAAAATGCTTTTTTCCTCTGTTGTTTAGGCGCAAGACCCTCAGGTGCTGGAGCAGCTGTCCAAAAACATCACTCGAATGGGTCTGACAAACTTCACCCTCAACTACCTCAGGGTAAGCACACCATAGCTGATGATTATTGTGAGCATTTTTAAAAGTTACTGTTAGCTTTGAATCAAGGTAATGAGAGCAGAGCCTGTGTTGGTCAGGTAAGAAATGGAGCTAATCCTTAATGAAGGTAAAGGAGAAACACAGAGACTGTAATAAAGATATAGCTGCTAACAATGTGCCATTAAAAAGGGTAAGAATTTTATCATGGAGTCAAAGCAGTGCATGAGTAGCCCCTGTTTTTAACAGTCTCTCTTCTCAGTTTTGGATTTATTTATTTGTAAGCAGGAAATTCCCCACCATTTTTCCTCTCTGCTTCACTGTTCCCGAGAAAATGGCAGCTCATTCTTATTAAAAGCTGCCTGTCTTCTCCGGCTCTTCAACCTCCCCAACTCTCCCAGGCAGAGAGGCAGGGCTGAGGCAAAGCTCAGCTCCAGCCCCTTCTGCAGCAGTCCCTCAAAGCAGCCTTCACTTCGCTTGCCTCTGGGAGCCTGAGCTTCCTCCTCAGCCTTGCACTGAATCGAGTGTGGTTTTTACAATTAAATAATGCATTTGTTCCCATTGCTTTTTGACCCTTAAAGTGCATTCAGAGTTTGGAAGTTTATTTTTATTTTTGAAAGTATTCCCTGGTGTGGGCTTACAATGCACACACTGAAATATGGGATTGTAGAGTTTGTATTTCGAGGTTGAAACTCAGATTTATCTTTTTTCTAGACATGCCATTAGCAGATAAATGAGGCAAATTGCTTAATGATACAGCAAGCTAACTTGGCCAGAATATCTGATGTTATTCCTTTTAATTGTGTGAGCAATTATACAAGATGCTTTTTTAAGATAATAAGAACACTAGAAAATGCAGTTATTTTCAGCCTAATGTAGAGCTGTACCTGACAGTCTACATTTTAGCTGCAATTCATTCAGGTCTATGAACCTTGTAGTACTTTCCTGATGGATGAAGTCCTACCCCCAAGTCTCCCAAACTCCTAGTGGGACAATGTGCAGGACTGAAATGTGTGGTGAGATCTCTCTCACTGTATCCCTACAGCTTATAGACAGCCTGTGGTTGTACTTACTCTCCCAATATGATAAACCATTGCTGATTGTTGCTTATGTGGTGTTAGTGTAAAAGCTACTGTTCAAATTATAGTGCGAGTTGTGCAGAGAATGTTTGTATAACTGGAAGAAGAATATGGCATAAAACCTCAGAGGGATGTTACACTGAATTAGAACTTTACTATGCATAAATTCAAAAATAATATGTCTATGTAGTGGGTATTGTATTTCTCATGGTTCTTTTAGTCTGTGGTTTGGTACAAAGAGTGACTGTTAGCTTAGCCAACATCCCTATAGCCACACTGTCATTGTCCTGTGGTGAGGCATCCTAGGGCACGTTGTTCAGAAATCCCCACTAGGGATTCCTCCTCAGTCAAGCCAAGTTTTGCATTACACCCTTGTGGTAAACTGGGCAGCTAGTGGCTGGCTTAGGTAGGCTATTTCCATTTTTTCCTTCCAAAGTGTTCTATGGTACAAGGCATCGCCTCTCTTTTGAGGTCTTTGATCCCCTTAGTATGACACACCAGCAAACACATGGGCTGGCCTACACCGGCCACAATACTCATAGCTGTCCTCTGCCAGGCTTGGGGACCCTTGCTGGATTTACAGCACTACCTCTATCACTGACCCCTTCTGGGTCCTTTGTGGTATATTCTGTAATTGCTGAATGGGACAATGCAAATGAGAAAGGCAGGGTCCCTGTTAGGAGGCAGCTGGCATCAGGCACCCATGCTGCTCCCCCCATCAACATCAAAAAAAACAAGGAGAGGAAGGGGGGAGGGAGAAAAAAATCCTCAGAAAAAGAAAACTGGGATCAAGCACTCAGGAGATGAGCAGTGAAGTGGAAGGGGATGAAAAGATGAAGTCTTCTTCCAGACTAGTTTTGTTAGCTTCACAGACAACATTAGGTCTTTGGGTGCAAAGCTTCCTCTGGCTCCCGCTGTGGTGATTCCAAAAGGAAATCTTTTTTTTCCCAAGCCAGTCTTTGCATCTCTCTTTCTTGTGGCGAGGAATTGATCATTCTGCTCTTTTTTTTCTAGACGTTGAGCTCATCATGGGAGCTCATATTGCATGATGTATTTCCATTTTGATTTACTTCTTTTCCAATTACTTTCTTCTGCTAATTTTAATATGAAAATCTTTTCTGCACTCAGGACTGTAAAATCATGCACTAAAAAAAAATGTGGCAAATGCAGTTAGGTTTAAGGTGTTTTGTTTTGTGGGGTTGTTTTTGTTTTAAGTTAGCATTTTATGATGCCTTATTCAGTCTTCCCAGTGTTTGGTAATTAGCACTGTTAGATGGGTTTGAATAAGGATTTGAAACTAAGCATAAAAATGATTTTCCTTTTTCTTTTTTTTCTGCTGCACACAGCAAAGGCTTGTGATACTCATAAGCAAAAACTTCACTGATGGGCAGAATTAATCATTTTTATTCTCCAACATTCACACAGCAGCAAGCTGTGCTGCAGTCTCTTTAAAGGCAGAATTTAAACCTGGATTTCAGATGGTTGTGATATAAAGGTATAGCCTGTGTTTTTTATGCTCTAGACATCACAGAATGCTAAATCATTGCTAGTTGGGATAATCACAGTTGCTGGCATGTAAACCTCCATTCCAGAGTGCCACATGCCTTTAGAGCCACAGCTTTGGATGCATGCCCTGGTTTGTCTTCATTCTCTCCAAATAAAGCTGTCCAGCATAGAAGAACATTGATTTTGTAAATCATATTTAATACAAATTTAAAATATATCTTCTTGGAACTTGAAAATGAAATGTTTTGTCCTGTGTCATTTGCCAAATGCTCTTTCTCTCTGTTTTCTCTGGCTCTGTGTAAAATCATAGGCTTCCTTTCTTTCTACTTACTAGTTTGTTTTGTTCCAGCATAATTGATTACCTCATCAATGGGGTCAGCAGACTTTGCTGTAGCTGCTGACTAGGAGTTGAATAGGCTGTCTCAGAAATAATGAACAAAACCTTGTAGGTTTTAAATTAATATCAAGCTTTTTAAAGTGTAATTTCTCATCAAGTCATCAAGTAGTAGATATTACAAACTATCAGATAATAAGGCCAAGACCTATATCCTAGTCTCAGTCAGTATGAGTCCAGGAACAAACAGGAATCCTGTACAGTGTATGAAGATGGAGATAACGCTCAGAAGAACAGTTTCCACCAAGCTACGATAATGTAGTCCCCATGCATTATCTTATTTTTTTTCTATGTAATTTTCTAGTTGCTCAGCTATGTTATTTAGATCTTCAATGCATAATGGATTTGAATACACTCTAAAACCAGTAGCTTTATACCAGCAGCACTATTCACAATTTGGAGGTCAAATGTTTCTTGCTGCCTTCTATACAGTGATTTATTCTCTTGAAATTTCTGACATTATAAAAGCCAGCCCCTACTGTCAATTCGGCTGGCCTGCCTGGCCTGAGCCTTGAAATACAGTTGTATCTTGCCCAGTTGGCTTCCAGAATTTGTCTCTACCTTATTGTACTGCCTGATTTGGAGTGATTTTTTTTTTTTTTAGGGCTTTTGCTCATGTGTAGCTATTGCATCCTCTCCACGCTGTGGTCTGCTCTGGTAGTAATGGTGTCAATGTAGCTGAGTCTGCCTCTGCCCCCTGCAAAAAGAGTTAGTGTGGCAGAGCCCTTTCACTTTACATCAGGGGAGGTATCTAGGCAGGGGAAAGCACAGTCCCATTTCCCCTTATATCCTGTACGGCTCTATTAACCAAGGCCTATCTCTGGGCTACAAATTAAACAATTTGTTTGTTTTCCATATAAACCAATAACGAAGTGTTACTATTGCAACACAGCGGACAATACTTTTTGAACCCCCACTTTCGCTAATTTAGTTCCTCAACAGACACTTTTGGATTTCATCTGCTAGGAGGATAACATGAATTATTTAATGGGACATAAATTTCTAAAGTTGATACTTGCATTATAATCAAAAGCCATTTGTATGTATGCCCCTTGTGTATGCAACGTTTTCTTTTGCAGATGCAAAATAGACATGCATGCAACAGTTCCCTTAATGTTCAGGGAAATATGCTTTTCTAAATATGGCTTCATGCATAGAAAAGATATAAACTCAAGCAATTTGACTGCTATTTTGCTTCTAATATGTAACAGTTTGTGGCACCTATCAGGTCAGTATTTTACAGCTGTTTGTGTGTCTTCAGTGAAGAAGGAAGATTACATGCAAGTGTGTTAGGGATGAAGTCAAATACTGCGGGAAAAGAAATGCTATCTTCATAGTCACCCATGCAACATGAATTCTTTTCCCTTTGTGAATTACATTATGGCATCATCTTCTAGCTACATCATTATGCATTGCCTTTCTCACAGACTCCACAATACATTCAGTGTATGGATTGAGTAGCCCTCACTCAGTAACAAGTGCTCCAGTGCTACTCATTTCCTTTTCTGCAGCATCATTCTAGTATCTCAACTGTAAATGTCAATGGCTACAGAGCACCTACCATTATTAGGTGCTCTGTAGCCATTGTTATTCCCAGTGCTCTCATGTGGCACTGAGAGACATGGATCAGCACCAGGGCACTCTGAGGGGTCAGCTAAGTGGAGGTGGACATTCTGAGAAAACAAGGGCCTGATTTTGCAGATCACCTATAGACTAATAATAAAATATATTAATAACAAAACTGTTGCTCTTGGATGCAGTCTGCTGTCTCAGGCTAGCTTTAGAGCTGTAAAAGGAGCAGCTGGTCATTCTGGGAACACACTGGTGAAAATGATTTTTCCATGACTTAGTACTATACTAGCGCTTGGGGGCAGGGACAGTTTGTTAAAGCAGCATTGGGTTACTCTAAGCTCACCTTTTCTTGTTCTGCAGTTCCCTGCTTCATGCTTCTGCTGCGGTCCTATGTGTTCAGTAGGTACGAATGAAGTCCTATACACAGCAACTTCGTTTACTTTGTGCTGTGCAGT